CTGCTGCTGCTGCTGCTGCTGCTGCTGCCCATGACCAGCTTGATCTCGACTCGTTTATTGACCTCGCCCGCCACTCTGCCCCTCCCCACCCGCACGCCAACTCTGCATCCTCTGCACGCTCTACACTCCTCTCGGACAATCATGACGACGATGCCGCGGTGGCGTACGTATCGCAGGAGCAACAATCCAGCGCGCCCGCGCCCGCGCGCAACGTGGTCAACTTCCTGCGCAACAAGTCCGGCATCAAGACGCGCGTTGGTGCGCTCAACGGCAAGCGCGTCGACTACTTCAAGGGCTCGGCCGCCGTCAAGGCGCTGCTCTCGCCCGCCTACGCCAAGCTCAAGGACGTGCCTAAGGTGACGTCCAAGGAGGAGGCGGAGGAGTGCTTGCACAACATCATCCCCTTTGCATTCTTCCTCCGCGTCGACCGCGGCGCCAGCACGGGCGGCAAGGACTCGCCCAAGGTCGTCGAGATCAACCAGCAGCAGCTCTTCAAGAGCGAGCTGCACTATGTCTGGCTCTTTGAGGGCTCGCAGCTCGGGCTCAAGCTCGCCGGTGTCGGAATGGTCGCAGTCATGCTCGCCGGCGTCATGTTCCCGCTCTGGCCCACCTCGATGCGCCTCGGCGTTTGGTACCTCTCGGTGGCAGCACTGGGCTTGATTGGCCTCTTCTTTGCCATCGCCATCCTCAGGCTCATCTTCTGGCTCATCACCATCGTCGTCGCCAAGCCGGGTATCTGGATCTTCCCCAACCTGTTCGAGGATGTCGGATTCGTCGACTCGTTCATCCCCTTGTGGGCATGGGACGTGCCGCCGGCGCCCAAGAAGAAGAAGGCTGCGGGTGACAAGAAGAAGCCCGCCGGGTCGGGTGGAGCGAGCGGTGCGAGGCAGCAGGCGCTCTCGGGACTCGGAGGTTCTGCACCCACCGCACCGCCACAGCAGCCGAAGCCCCCCCAGCAGGCGGCCCAGTCGGCACCAGCCGCCTCCAACGGCAATGCCCAGGCCAACGGCGGCGTCCAGAACCAGTCCAGCGGCAGCGGCGGCCCAGGCGCATCCGACAGCCTCGACGATATCAACTAGGCCCTTCACACGCAGACACGCCTGATGGCCGATAGCGCAATGGGCCGATTTGCGCTCGCTGGTCAGGCCGCTTTAAAAAGGGCGCATTGACTGTCAAAAGACGTTTTGCTCTTCACTGTTTCTCAAAATCCAATGCACATGCATGCTCTCGTACTTGACAACGATCGAGCGGAGTGTGATGGACTGTCGGCAATGTCGGCCTTTTGAGAGCTGGCTTGCGGTGTGAGTTCTTGCAGACCAGTGGAAACGACTGGAAGCCAGAGTCGATTTCAGTGCCGCTTTTTTCTCCGAGCATTGGCATTTCTACGTTTATTCTTTGATTTCCTTTTCGGGCTGTTGTGTTCTTTTGGTGGGTCAGATGACTTGGACTCAAGAGCTCTTGGTTGTTCGTTGGCGGGGGGATCGGTGTTGATCGGAGGCCTTTGAGCACGGCATTGACCGGGGTTGAGACGATCCATTCGACGCTCGATTGCGGAGTGCCGAGGGAGGGTGCGCTTTCGGAAATCTCTTAGGCGCGCGGTTAAGCGATGCGGGGTGAGGCGCAAGCTAACCTGCCGAGCTGCGCGGAAAAAGAATGCCGAGTTGACCGGCTCGGCTCCCCCGCCAATTGCTTGTGCGCTCTAGCTTGTGGATGAAGGAACACAAGGTCCGGGGGGGGGGGGGG